TCCTTTGGGGGTAGGATCCAGTTTTTAAGATACACCATTTTTAATACTATCGCCTACTGGATTAGAGGCTCTATTTTACCAAAGAAATGTTTCAAATCTTTGGATAGAATTTGCTCTCGGTTCCTTTATTCTCGTGACATTGCAGTTAAAAAGCTTCGTCTGATTGCCTGGAAAGACACCTGCATTCCGAAAATTAATGGAGGGCTTGGTCTACCCTCTTTAGATGCATTAAATTTTACTTTTTCTTGCTCTATCATCTGGAGGTTCATTAATGATAGCAATCTGCTATTCTGTTGCTGGCGTAACCTTTACACCTCTCTCTGGTTCCCTCATAACAAGGGCTGTTCTGTGTTCTGGACCAAAATTTCTGTAATAGCTGCTCAAATTAAACACTGTCTAAATTTTAGGATTTTGCCTGACTGTCACCATTCCCTCTTTTGGGACCCCTGGTGTCATGCTAAATCCATCTCTGAGTTGGATGTTGCTATTTTTGGCGGGAGCTGGCTGGACAACCTCAACAAAAATTCCGTGTCTGCCATTCTTTAGAATGGTAGCTGGAATTTGCCTAATAACTGGCCCTATGCTTTAACGACTATCATAAATTCTGTTCCAATCCGTGATGCTGTTACTGGTTGCCTTTGGTCATATTCTGAGAAGGTTACCAACAAAATTTTTGGGAAAGAATTTTATATGCATTACCCGGTGCTGGATTGGTATCATTTTGTTTGGCATAAGCATTCGGTTATCAGATATTCAGCTTTTGGTTGGCTGGCTGTTAAGAATGGGCTTAAAACGGCAAACATTTTGATTAGGCGTGGTATTACTGTTAATCCACTTTGTACCTTCTGCTTGGTGAGTAATGAATCTCATTCTCATCTGTTTTTTGAGTGTGACTTATCTTTTAAGATTCTCTGTGCATTAATTCCCCAAGCGCATTCTTTACTTCTTCGTCTGAACATATACCAAGTGTTTCATTTTCTGGACGACATTGCGGACTCGTCTGAATTTCTGAACTTCTACTGCATGTTAGTAAATACTGCTATTTACTATATTTGGCGGGCTCGTAATGACAGATTTTTTGGCAATAAAATTGATTGTCACACTACTGTGGTTAGAAAGATTAAATATGCTGTTCAGGCTAAATTGGGGAGATGGAAAAATGGTAGCAATTTACTGCATCTATTGGGGTAATTGGTGTTTTTGTGCTACCCCCTGCGGTTGGCATTCGGCTGGTGTTATTATCTGGAACTGTTTCAATTTTATTGGTTGTTGGTGCTGCTTATGGTTCTGGTTGAATTCTGATGAGTACAACTGCTGGTGGGCTATTCTATGGTGGCCCTCTCGGTGTTCAAGCTACAAAGGTTTTTGGTTATTTCAGACAATTTTGCAGGACGATGATGACCGCTGCAGCCCTTCCCCTTGGAGGGTCTTTATGGCAACCAGGGGTATTTTTTTGGATCAATGCGATGACCGAGTCCCTCGTTTTTGTCGCTGCAGCAAATGCCTGAGTCCTGATCAAATTTTGTATACCACTTTTTGTTGATTTCATTGGTTTATTGTTATTGGTGGTATAGGTTTTTCTTTTACAGTTATTATATTTTTGTTTTGGCCTCCTTCCTTTTTTTGGGATAGGCCTCTTTTTCTTGTAATTTCTCTTTATTAATAGAAGGGCTGAGTCCCCAAATTCTCCCAAAAAAAAAAGAGTTGCATCTAATTAAAGTAGGAATATTATGGAGTAATGCAGTACAAATCTATAAAAAAAAAATTATTATTATTATTATTTTTGGACAATTAGATAAATTTAGATAGATTCATACACATATTACATACACAAAATATATATCTTGATCGGACATGAATCTCGAGGCAAAAATCAAGTTGGAAATTTCAAAAGTTAAATCTGGGACCATCCGAACTCCGATTTAAGCAAACTTATAGTCAAACTTAGCGTCATGGAAATTAATACGAACCCAACGACACCAAATTCAACTCGATCAGAGCACAAATTGGTCCAAATCGAAGACTCGAAGCACATTTGGAAGGTTCAAACCACAATTTGGATTAACAAATGGATTTCAAACATGCATGCTTATAGTCGAATCGAGCAGATTGACGAGACGAATCCAACGAGCACAAGATCGCCGAATTTCAATATCATTAAGACCTTTAAATATCTGACAAATGGTCCACAATCAAGGGATTCAATATCAGCCATCCATCCAAACCACTCCACATTTACTCTTGATCCTTCTCCTATTTACGAGTCATGCTACTCTCAGAAAATTATAAATAGCTCATCATTTCTCTTAAGAGGAGACCCAAGCAAGAAGGAAGAAGAGAAGGAAGGAAGAAGGAAGAAGCACCTCGTCGACCACCGCTGAACTTTCAATTGATGCCAGAGTTTCGCCCGATCTCTAAGTCACATCCACTCGTCGCCAGATTTCTACCCGACTGCAGACTTCCGCCCGTTGTCGGATTTTCACCGGACATCTATCTGATGTTGGATTTATGTTTATTGCTGGACTTCTATCCGATGCCATCCTTTTGACCTCCGTTGTCAGACAACGGTCCTTCCAACCTTCGTCGTCCGCTGACTACGATTTCTTTGACTTACGTCGCCCACCGACTACATTCCTTCAGACCTCCGTTGCCCACCAGCTACAATCCTTCTGACTTACGTTGCCCATCGACTACAGTCCTTTCGACCACCATCACCTGCCGACTACGATCCTTCTGACTTATGTTGCTCACCGACTGTAGTCCTTTCAACCTCCGTTGCCCACCGACTACGGTCCTTTTGACTTACGTCGCCCACTGACTATAGTCTTTATGACATCTGTCGTCAGACAGCGGTTTCCGACCTCCTTCGCCCGCCGAATACGGTCCTTCCGACTTACGTCACCCATCAACTACGGTCCTTCCAACCAAACAAACACATCAACATTGACTCTTTGTATTCACATTATGTACTTCATATAATGTACATCTAGCTAAGGCCTTCCCCCTAAGGAAGTGTTTCATTTGTAATCGATTGCAAATAATAATGTATTCATTCAAACTGAGCTAGGCCCCGTGATTTTTTCTCCCTTTTCAGGGGTTTTTCACATAAAAATATTGGTGTCTCATAAATGCTACACACACTCTCTTATGTGATTGCATGCCGGATATTTTGTATAATGCTAAAACGCTAAACTTTTTATTTCTCTACCGCCACGAATACTCTATGACGCTATATATATATATTAGACTTTGTTTGGGGCGGCTTTCTTAATGCGTTCTAGTACCAAAAATTCTATTTTAAAAAATTTTTATACTAAAAAAGTAATTTGGAAAGCAGTAAAAAAGTGTTTCCAAACGAAATCTTATTGGCTCAAATGTCTAAAAAAAATATTTTATGTAACGATGTAATTACACTTTTTTAAATATAAATATGCCCAATATAATTCTTTTAGAGAACATAGTTGGATTCTTATTTGGAATTTTTAGTCGGCTTGATGGCAAAATTAGAGGAAGAAGTCAAACATGAATGTTAGTCATATCAAATCCTTCATATGAATGCTTGCATTGTAAAGAGAAAACCGGACTCTTTTTTGTGCTGGGAAAATAGGATTATGAAATATATACTCTTATATATATAATAAAAAAAAATTATTGAAATTTTGACAACTGTATTTATTGAAGATGGACAAAATAATTAAATTATCTACTTTCCAAAAAAAAGATTTCAGCCCGGGCAATTGCCCATCCTAAACTCTTCCTGATTCAACCCCTAATTGTAGCGAATTATCACAAAAACTCAATGGTCTAACTATGCTTTTATAGGTCAAAATAAAAAATTTAGCTGATGAAAATATTTGAACGAGTAGCTCATCATTGTTTATAAATAAAAATAAATTTAATCAATATAATTATATAAGTAGGTTAATAATTATTTGTCAGAGCGCACACTACAATATGCAAATAAAAAAATTTTGATCATATATTCCAAAATATTTATAATTCTTAATTTTATGAGTATATTAGATATATAAAAATATTTTTTTAACCAATCAAATATAATTGAGTTGGCTCATATCCATGTTAGATTACTTAGATTCGTGAATTCAATTAAAAAAAAAAAACCTTATTTAAATCAGCCAGATAACATAGAAACTAATGAGCCAAAAAAATAAATAAAAGTTTATAAAAAAAAGTTAGACAATATAGCCCTAATGCATCTATATATTAAATAATAGAAAAAAACTAATGCCAGGATATTTTAATTAAAATTTTCATAATAATAAACTAAAGTTAATATAGATGTTTTAAATATCATGATTATTTTTATCAGCAATTTTTGAATATTTTTTTAAATACCATATTTAAACAGATGAAACAAATAATAAAAAAAATTATTAGAATATCCTAGATAAAAAAATGATCAATTTATATTTTAAAATTTTAATATTTATTTTTGGATGAATACAACATCAACAATAACAACATCAAGTTTTTATCTTACTACATGAGATCAGCTACATTAATCTTTTTTTTTTTCATTGTGTCCTATTAAAAGTAAAATTCTCGTTTAAATCAAAGATTATTTTTAGATAAATATAATAGATAAATAATATGTATTTTATTTATTTTAAAATAAATTTAATGATTTTAAAAATTTTGGTTTGATATCTGGCACAATTTTTTCTCCAAAAAAAGCTAAAAAAATTAGAGATCGAGCGCAACTACAACCAACTGTGTTCCGTCTCCGCCTCCTCTTTCCGCCATGTTTAGCCAATTGGCCGATGGCCTCGCCGACGGCCTCTACTCCTCTACTATTTTTAGCTATTGCCTCGCAATCTAGCGATCGGCAGCTCTCTTCTCCGTGACCGTTGCAACCGCCCTTTATACCGACTCTTTCCTCCTTTTTCTAACCCCTACCATTTATCTTGCATTTCCTTATTCCTTCACCGCCACTCTCTCATCGCAGCGAGGCGGCCATTCTGGCTACCGCCGGCTCGGCGATGCTGAGCAATAGAAGAACCATGAACAGGGGGATGGAACAGCATAAACTATTGCTGCAACACCCGTCGCCGCCGCATTCCTCCTCTGAAAGTGAAACAGAGGATGAGAAAGTCATGACGAACCTCCCTACGCCTTCAACGTTGGCCAGAAGAGTGGAAAAGAAGGTTCTGTCAAAGCAGCTTTCGATGAGAGATATGATGAGGGAGGAGAAATGGGAGAGGAAAAAGAGGCTGATGTATTTGCGGAGTCTCAGCGATGAATTGGTGGAGGAGAGTGAGAGAGACGAGGATGGGAAGGAGGTGACAGTGAAGGAGAGGAGGGAGAGGGTCAGGAGCTTGACGGATGAGGACTTGGATGAGTTGAAGGGCTCCTTAGATCTCGGCTTTGGCTTCAGTGAGGAGAACGGAGGGAAGGAATTGTGCAAGACGCTGCCGGCGCTGAAACTGTACTTTGCTATTAATAGGCAGCTGTCTGACCCGAAGCTGAGCCAGACACCGAGTCCCGCATCGACGCCGACGACAACCACGGCGACTTCATCGTCGGCAACGCTTAACGGGACACCCAGCCCGAGAACTCCGCATGCGCAGCCGCAACTGGATCAGCAGGGACGCCCTATAAGTTCTGATGATGATACTTGGAGGGTCATGAAACCGGGTAAGTAGGGAGTTTGAAATGTCACTCTCGTTATACGAAAAATTTTTTATCAGAATATTTTGATTTCATTTTAAATACAGAATTCACAGTGAATCAAATGAGCAATAACATTAAAAACAAATAACTTTATTAAAAGTTTTTTTTAACCATTTTTTGTCACTAAAGTAATAAAATTGTTCCAAATAAATCTAAATTAATCTAATTTATTTGAAGTTAATCTGCATTTTTTCTTTGATTTGTTTACTAATTACATGGGTTCACAGGGGACAGCCCGGAACGCGTGAAGGCAAGGATCAGGCAATGGGCACAAATCGTGGCTTGCTCTGTGAAGCACATGCGCTAGTTGGTGCACCCGCGACTTGATAATAAAAATCTAAGGAAAAAAAAAAAACTTTCCTAATTGCTTATTCCCGTATTTGTCGATCTCCCTATTTCCTTTTTATATTTCTTCTTTTCTTTTGTCTGTTTGTCCTTGATGTTTGTCTTGTGTGTCTTCCCGTTGTGCTTTCTCTGGCTTTATTTATCCCTTCAGCTTTGTCGTCGTCGTTCTCTTCGAATCAAAGATGACAGAGCGGAAAAAGGTGAAGAACTTTTTCTTCACGCAGTCTCTCGCATTCATGCAATTGTGCGCTTGGTTGGCAAAAGAGAGATCTACTAATAGGAGATGATTGCGGATAAATGTAAATCAGCGCTCCTATATGTCATAGCAATCTCTCCAAATTTAAGCTCTCGTCAGGTTTTGCATCAGAAGGTTAAGATATTTGAGCACAATTGGAAGCTATTTGTTCTGAAATATAAAGCAATGCAGTCTTATTGTAAGAAAAAGTATGTGCATGAATTTCTATTTGAATGCTTACTGATTGTACAGGATAATGTTATTATATAAATGTGGTATTGTATTGAAGAACTGCATTTCAATTTTGATCATGGCTGACTTCAAATTTATCTGTGGGCAATACACAGATCTCATCAGGAATATAAATATATAAGTCGGGTATCTGTCTTATCAAATCAGACTCGTTTAACCTTTAATTAGCTTGAACTCTAGCTCGAGCACGAATCGAGCTCGGTTAATGGACTCAAGCTTGACTCGTTTAGAAAATATCAAGCTCGAGTTCATTTGGAAAGCGCGAGCACGAGTCATTTATTTGGCTTGATTCTTTAATTGTAAACGAAAACTTTCATTTTTTATAATTTTTATTTCTAACACTTAATTAAAATTTATTTTCAATTATGATAAATAACTTAACTAGTCATAAAATGTACACAACTTTAACTTTTTATTTCTTTAAGAAAATTTTAAGCTGCAGAAGAAATCAATATAAAGTAAGCAATCATCTTCCTTAAAATTTTCCTTTAAAATTTTGATCAATATCAAATACAATTTTTGTGCAGTTAAGCACAATAAAAATTTGATTAATATCAAAATAGAGCATGTGTATATCAATGCTAAACCAAATTAATTAAATATCATCACATCATTAAAAAAAATAATTATAATTATACAACCCATTAAGAAGTTTCATAATATAACAAAAATAAAAACTCAACAAAAGATACAACTATTCATTTCTTGTCTTTCTAATATTTCATATTTTTCGACCCTTCCGTCTTTCGTACAAATTAATATGTTACGAATCTGAAAATTAAGATGAAAGATAAAAATTAAATTTTCTCAATGTATTGCATTACATTAAAATTAGAAAAAAAAAAAAAGTAAAAACTCATTTTTTGCTAGCATGAAGCAGCAAAATTCTTGCTACATCTACATGTAAGAAAAAGTATGCATGCTATGGGATAATATCAGCAAAGATAAATCTGTAACCACCAATGTTAGCTTTAAATATGTTCCAATTGTTTACCTGCACTACTCTTGTATTACAAGGCTAGAAGATCTAACATTATCAACAATAAAAGCTTCGTTTGGGATAGTTTTCTTTCTGCTTCTTAAACGATTTTCTAGTAAAGAAAAGCTTTTTTAAGAAGCCAAAAAAAAACAAAAAACCGCCCCAAACGAAGTCAAAATGTTAATCGAAAACAACTGTTTAGAACTACACATGAAATTGGCTTAGTAGACATCGATGATATTAGCAAACAAAGAACAGAAAAATCAACATGATATGAAAACAATTGTTTAGAATAAAAGAGGCTAGAGAAATCACAGTTTCAAGGGGAAAAAAAAAACATATTTGTTGCCTTCTTCACTCTCTGGTTGATTTTTTTGGTGATTTGTTTAAGTTTTTTGTTGGTCGTGGATGTGCTGGTATGATGTGCTTGGGGCTCGTTTCTTCATTGTCATAGCTCATGGCAACCTTTGGTGTTGGTCTCTTGCTCAGTTGGTTTGGCTGGTAGGCTGGCTTGATTTCTTCGCGCATTTCTTCACCAAATTGGAGGGTCTGTGCTTGGCTTCGGGGAAGCTAGGAGCCTCGGCCAATTACTGAGCCTTCAAAAATAGTTCTTATTTTTTATTTCTTTTTATGTTTTGTCATTAGCTATTTTTGGTTTAATATATTTTTAATTTTGTTTAATATATAGGCAAAGAAATCTCGACCTCTTCATCTTCATCTTCTCCCTATAAAATACAGGAAAATTTCAAATTTATATGTTGATGTTTGATATTCAGATATATGAGTTCAATGACAAAAAATAAAATTCGTTATGATATATAGTTAGTTAAAAATAATGATAGAACATTTACAACTACTACCATTCATGTAAACTTTGTATATATTTACAAGTTATGTGTTGTTTTCTAGCCATATACCAAAATAAAGCAGCGTACGACAGAATGAAGAAAATGATAGTCATGAAGACACAAAAATAGGGAAATATAGAGAATAGGATGCGAAAAAAATGGCTGGACTTTTGGTTTAATTTCCATGAAAGATTACCTTAAATCCTGGTTTGAGGAAAAAAAAAAATTGGACTATTATCCAAATGAGAGGGATAGTGTCTGGAGGTACCACTTACAAAAAGGAACATGACAACCGTGTGATGATTAATTCCCACACACACAAAATGAAAATAAATTACGTTGATTTAATCATAATTCATACATGATTTGATGATGATAAAGTTTGGTTAGAACATAGTATTACCAAGCAGGATGCAATTTATTTTTTATTTTGTTATTTGTATAGTCCTAAAATTAGAGATTAAGGCTTCGTTTGGGACGGCTTTTTTACTGCTTTCTAAAACTCCGTTTTAGTACAAATTTTTTTATTTTTGTACTAAAACGACTCCGTTTTAGAAAACAATGAAAAAACTGTCCCAAACGAAGCCTAAGTTAGTGGTGATAATTTCAATACAAAAGATTTTGAAAATTGGAAGAAAAAAAAAATTGATTTTAGATTTATGTTCTCAATATTAATAATGCTCATAACATTGCTAGATAAAAATATGAAGATACAATGAATAAAAAAATATTAGATTTTCTAATCGAAGCTTCAAAGATTATCGTACAAGATTAAATACATATGTTGATTGTGTACGCATCAACTCCAATTAGAATTATTTATAGTTGCAAAAAATAATGTTCGAGTTTTTTCATTGGTTAATATAGTTGCTAGAAGAGATATATTAATAGAAAATTATTATAACAAAATTAATGATTAACTAAAAAGTGCGGGAGTTGTCAAAAGTAGAGGTTTGAACACTACTAAAATTAGTAGTGAAAGTGGAACTAAGCGTGTCAATATTTGACACGACACGAAAATCCGATCCGGATCAGACCTGGAAAATCCGGGTTGGACCCGACCCGTTTGAAAAACGGGTCGGGTTTGGGTTCGCAGATTCGATCAAAAACGGGTAGAGTTCGGGTTGACCCGGCGGGTTATACCCGGGTCGGGTTATATGAAAAAAAATCTTAGCTCCGCCCTCGATTGTGCCTTTGCCAGAGGTTGAGGTAGAGACAAGACAAAATTACTAGAATTACATTAAAAAATAAATACATAAATTGCATAATATGGCCTAATAAAATTTTACCATAAAAAGAAAACATGATAATAACATTTCTTTAATTATATGAGATATGTATAAAAATTTTCAAATATAAAATGGGCGGACATGTTGCCACTAATTAGTTTAGTCCGATCTGATTAACTCGTGAGATCAACATGATTTTGTCAGTTATATTGACTCGAGCTAAGCATAAGCTATTTAGGGTATACAATCTTCACCTCCTACCCAAAAATTTGTCAAGATCTCCTTACATAATTTTTGTTCCTCCATATTATTTTTATGGAATGTAAGCCCTGTAGATGGAACTTTTATTAGGTCAGGACACCTGACGTAGCTCTACATCTGGATACCAATAAAATGTTATCACGTGCTCTTACTCTTTGCCGCGCGGCCCAACGACCCGAATCGGACCGGAACCCGGTATTGCTAGGTATTGCTCGGTATTGCTAGGTATTGCTTGGCAATAACGAGAAATATCACTCTTTCAAGACCAATACCGAGCAATACCTACCAATACCGAGAAATACCTAGCAAAACCGGGGTATTGCTCGTTATTTGCCTTGACATAATGATATTTCTCGCTAACAAGCAATACCGAGCAATACCTAGCAATACCTTGGTCTGCACAAATCAGCTAATACATAGCAATACCGGGTTCCGGTCCAGGCCGGGTCGTCGGGCCGCGCGATAAAGAGTAAGAGCATGTGGCGACATTTTATTGGCGTCCGGATGTAGAGCTACGTCAGGTGTCCTAACCTAATAAAAGGTCCTGTAGATGAGATGCATAAAATAATACAATCATGATTTCAGGTGCTTACCATTTTCTGCACATAGATAAAGAATATACGAAGTGATCAATGGTTAGGAAGGAAGGAACTCAGTTCTTTTTCAAGTTGGGATCTGTAGCTGCTCTAATTTTTTTTCCCAAGTTATTTCTTTTGGGCACCCTCTCACAAAAACAAGCTAAACAAGGCCTTCAATGAAAACAATTTCAAGCCAATTGATGTTATCTTTAAAGGATGTACTAGACAGCCTTACACCAACATGCAGCTTAAAAAGAGACAAATCGAAATGCCTATTAAAATAAGGCCATGATTGCACCAAAGTAATTGATATTTACTAGGAATGTAGTTTGCCAATCATTTATGTGACAATCACACAGTAAAAGTAGAGGAAATGAATTACAAGGATGGAGCACAAAAGGGTCCCTTCCTCCCTCATTTTTCAATGATTAATTTGGTAAGTCGATGGCCAATTGCGGCAAAAGGAAAACTAGTAAACCGACCTGATTTTTTAAACGGGTCAGTTTGTTGGACCCGAATCCCACCCGTTTGACAAACGGATTGACCCTAATCCGGAATATTTGGGTCGGGTTCAAGTCGAATTTTCGGGTCGTGTCAAATATGAACTCCCCTAATTATATTTAAACATTTGGTCATTTGATGTCGCCCTTCATTCTATTTTGTTGACTTCAGAAGAACTCTGGCTTGAGTTCCTTATGTTGTACAGAGGTATCATCTGGCATGTGGTATATGTAGATGTCAATAAATCAAATGTTAGATAGATTTATCAATCTGGCAGGATTGTCATTTATTTTCTTTTCTATTGAGAAAGGATTGAGTTTAAAGGTTTTAATTAAGAGTGCTGAGTTTATTCTTTAAAAACACAAATCCTAAATGGCTGCAACTTCCATTGGGTCTACTTAGATGCGATTTAAGATATGTTGGGAAGTAAACCACATAATGAAACATCCATGGAAAAAAAAAACCAACAAAACTGAACACCAAGAAATTTAAAATTGGGAAAAAGAACTACGGAGCTGCATCACTCGAAGAAATTCACTATGAAAATGGGAGAAATAGTAAAGGTCTTTATTCTCTCACTCTCTCCTTGTCTCCCTTTTCTTATCTTTTCATTTTGCACACATAATAGACAAAGGAACACTTTACAATTTAACAAAAGACACAACCCTTCAAATAAAATAAGAAAAAGAGGGATAAAAAACTGCTCAACCCGAATAGCAACAATGTGATCATGCTGGGATTTGGAGCGTTGCAGCGCTCCACTCTGTACCTCTAGCCCGAGTCACAATGCCAACTCCAAAGTATCGCGACTCTATGCTTTCTGCCTCCAAGTCAAGCTCTCTAATGTTTAGTGTTGGTGCGTTGCATCCTACGATGATGTAGCTCTCTAATGAATATATAGCACCGCGCTATTGTACGATAAAACATTTCGCCAGCAAGGCCTCCGAACCTCAAGCAGAGGGGAGTGCTGCCCCCTCCAACCCCCTCGGCGAGCTGGACCGACATCTGGCAGAATTGACATTTAAGTTAACAGTACAACTAAATTAATCGACACAATCATATTTCACACAAAATTAATAAACTAATGATGAAATTAAAGAAACTAATGCTCACGATAGTGAATTCACCCTCGGACAAATTGAGTTATAGTTTCTGCTCACATAATATACATGAAATAAAACTGATTATCAGATATTCAAGGTGCTAAAAAAAATGTTAAATGCTAAAACATCATCAAAATATACCATTAGGTGCCCCAAGAAGGATTTGAGTATCTCATTCATACCTCAAATAAAGCTTCCATTCATAGAGGCCTGCACAAACTTCAAATGACGTTTAACATTCGTCTCCAAGGCAAAAGTGAATTTGATGGTACCCACAAAACATACCCAACTTAGATAATATGTCAGCACTCTCTAAGTAATAAGACATATTTGTTGCAGAAGATGAGGAGTAATCACCATAATGACTAAACAAGCAAGAAAATAAATGTAGCGAAAAACAAATGACATAAGGATTTAACGTGGAAAAATATAAAATTGGGAAAAAAAATGATTGAGCCACACCACATCAAGATACCCACTATGAAAATTGGGAGAAATAAGTACAAATCTCTCTTCTCTCTCACTCTATCCTTAATTCTCTTCTCACATGTATAATTTTATATGTCTACACAATCAAAATACAAGAGAAAGCCAACTAAAATAATCTCAAGGGACTCAACCCTTCATAAAACAAGAAAGAAAATCGTCCAGTTAATCTCGCAGCGTTGTCGCGTCAGTTTGGGGCGCTATGACACTCAAGCCTCTGTCTTGCACTGTTGTTGCGTCGTATTTATGCTGTTGTTGCACTTTGCTCTATGTTGTTCAACGTTAGGGCACTCAGGAACATATCATCGGGGTGTTGTACTGAAAAAAAAAAAAAAATCATGTGCAGAGCACCCGAACCCAAGCAAGGGGTAAACCCTCCGCACCCCCTAGCAAATACGACAAGCTTTGAGACCCGAGACTAACGAACAACCAAATTGATCAATATAATCAGTTTCCACACATAACAATATTCTCTTATAAAAACATTAAGAAATGATACATAGTTTACTATTATTTTATTTATGGTGCGATTGGCTATATAGCATTCTTCAACACAAATAAAGTTGTGAGAGTGCACAGACTAAGGTAGTACTGAATGAGTTGCTTGGAGAACATGTCATATATGATTTTTTGTGGAATGTGGTGTTCTTTTACACTCATATTGTATTGATGGAGATTTTGATAATAATGACTCCGATGTTACTTGATAGATCAATTTGGTGTTGTATAGGTACCAGTTGGGAAGGAAGTTTCATAGGACCGATGTCTGGAAATTGTTATAGCAAGGCACAAAAGAAGTCTGGCATAGGACATGAAGTTGTTGTATGTCCAGCTATAGCTTACACATAAATTGAAGAAGTCTCCTTGGGTGCATTAGGACTTTAGGAGCATGGGACTGGTGACCTCAAACATGGTTGAAAACTAAAGTATCCTTGGTAAAATTGGATTTAGGCTTCATTTGAGACAGCTTTCTTACTGTTTCTTAAAACAACATTGTAGTACAAAAATTTTGATTTTTGTACTACAAAGCTGCTTTAAGAAACAGAAAGAAAATAGTCTCAAACGAAGTAGTAGTTGAAGTTGGATATGTCAATGGATTGATCTTCTTACCCTTCTACTCAGAGGAATTGGCATTGGCTAGACATTCATATAAAGTTCCCATATCGAATTCCCATGGATGTCTTAAGTATTGGAACAAAAAAAAAATGTATAAGAATATTTTGGTTCAATTTATATGAGGATGAACCTCAAAATCTTTAAATTTATTTTGAGGTTGGTGTTGCATATAAAAAATATGTATTACATCAATACAAAAATAAATTTTACGCCTATCTTGATAGAAATTCAATCAATATATTCTTAAACAACATTTTTTCACTAGTATTCCGACTCATGTCAGAACTCAACTAATATTATACGAATGTAAATATTTGATGGCACATTTGAAAATCATATAGTTTGATCCTATATCAGTATTAAAGTCAAATTATTGAGAATTTGATAAAGATGAAAAATAAACATAAATGTTTTATTGTGTGCTTCAAGATTTGATTAATATTATTACAAATAGAGGAAGTTAAATATTAATTTTTAAAATAATAAAATTGTAATATTGTTATTTATGCAATTGTCTTAAACATATATACAAATTAGAGGTGTTAATTCGGGTCGACGGGTCGTATTCAGGTCGAATCCAAGTTAACCCGAATCTAAACAGGTTACAGGCCAACCCGTAATAATAATACTCCTCAACGGCGCAACCTTCTCATAAAATGCATCAAGCAATTAGTCGATCCATCTATTTAAGCTTACTCTATCTTGCATTAATTACCTTTTCCTGACTCTTTTTAAACATAAAAATACTTACAATTTTTCAGATTTGGAAATGCAATTCTCTAAGACATTGGCTTTGTTACTACTTTTAAAGCAGATTTTTAGTAAAAAAGTTAATTTTTGTAATAAAGAACCGAGTCGTTTTTAAAAATGCAAAAAGATTAATTATAGTGAATTCTGAAAATCTGTTCTTTGATATTTCTATAGTAATGGGTAGGTAAAACCATTACTGTACTGTAAGTCTGTAATACTCCAGATGAAATAATTCCTGTAGCTAAAGCTTGCTCGAATCTTAAAAATATATTTCTATCAAACTTAACAGTTTATAATTACACAAAACAAATGAAAATTAACTCATTATTAATTTTCTAATCTAAATTCAAACAGCAACAAGAAAAACAACTAAATGAGCCCTTAATAACATCACAAACCTTCCAAAAGATCACAACTTCCATTACAGGATCATCAAACTACGCCATGACATAGCTATTACAGTCTCAGTTAAAACACAACACGGTGGCCTTTAGCCCCCCGTCAAAAACACTACTCCAAAGTTACAAAAAACATGGGCATCTGAAGCCCATAAACCCATTCCACCCGCCATTCACGGAATGGGGAAAAAGCAGAGAGACCAACCATGCAGAACTGCAGATACGAAGCTTTCTTGAAGCAAGCCAACCAAGCCCAAAAAGAGGCGAAACCACCACTAAAGAAGTGAAGAGGCAGAGCGGCTTGGAATACTACATATTTATATATGTTTGTATGAGAGGGGTAAAGGAAATGGGAAGGTAGCTAGTCATCGCCGTGGATGTACCAGCACAATAGCATGGTGGCGCAGCGGCGGAGGATGTAGATCCTGGCCCTCTGCTCGCGCACCAGCGAAGCACAGCGGCGGGTGAAACCTCCACGGCCGGCGACGTTAATCTTATTCACCCTAGCCATGATGGCGGCCGCAGGCCCTGTAAGCAGATAATATCCTTCTGTATGACACTGCTTAGTTGGCGTTGTTAGGGGTGTAGGCTATTTATATAGAAGAAAACCGTAGATGTGTGAGGAGTAAGGGAAAATTATTAGGTCCGCACTCATTGGACACGGGACGTATCTCTTCGTGGGGAGTCCGGATCTAATAATTTTCCGAGGAGTAGAGGAGGAATATAGTCAGCATCGGGAGTTGAGGACTGCATGGAAAGGCGGAGAGGAGAAGCGGCCAGCTGGCTCGGAGGAATAGATTAATGGCGGAGGGGAAGAACATGGGCGTGGATTAGAATAAAAGGGAGGGTTAACTTTAAGAATGGAAATGTGTTCGTGCAGGACAAGGCATGGAGTGGACAGTGTGCCGGTGGGTGGAAGGAGTGTACTGTGCGTGGGTGGTCCATGTATGTAATTAAGCAATTATAAGAGCTGGGATGGGAGATCCATTGGCTTTTCTTGATCAAATTTGGGTTAATGAGCTGGACGGGTCTAGGAGGACAGTTTGACTTCGTGTGTCACATCATATTTTGCCTTAAATTTTTTTCAAATTTTAGAAGAAAAATATATTGAAATATATGTTTTGTGTCAAATTATTCAATTTTTATATGCACACTGTGCTCGCTGTGGACTGCCACAAATAAATTTGGTTTGAATTAATTTAATTCTGAATTTTATTCGAATTAAGTTGGAATAAGGTTTGGATGATGTTTGAGTATGATTTGATCTATGTTCAATTCAGAGTTAATTGAATTCTTAGTTGAATCTTATCTTAACCTTATTTGAACCTAGTGTGAACATGATCTTAACTTTGATTTGAACTTCCTTTGCATGGGCTGGTTGCATGATGTATTTCTTGTTAGTTCTATGTGGAGTTTGATTGTGTTGATCAATCGAGTTTTGATGTTGCCTCTGATCTTAAATCAATATATTGATCTCGATCATGGTCCTCCCCCTGCTTGGGTTCGGATGCTTTAAATTTTTTTTCCCCGTACAACCATATAGTTATATAGTGCAGTATGCCGAATGCTTTGGCATTGTATAGTTTGTTTGGATAAAGTGAGAGAGTGGAGCGTTGCGGCGCTTCAAGCCCTGAGACTACTAGGGGTGCCACGACGCTCCTAACTGGCGTTGTTAGATGAGTTGTTAGTTTTCTTTCTCGTTCTTCATCAAGGGTTGCACCCATTTTTTATTTTTTATGTTTATCTTTGTATGATAGTGTGAGAATGATGCAATGATGAAAAGAAAGCAAGAGGAGATGAAGAGAGAACATAGATTTGTACTATTTATAGTTAATTTCTTGATGTGGTGTGGCTCTATGATTTTTTCCCGATTTCATTTTTTTTTTCTCGTTAAATCCTGGTGTTTTTTTTTCCCTGCTATAGTTTCTATTTCTTATTTGTTTTGTTGGGTATTTCACTTCCCCAATATTCCCCATCAAGCTCATTTCAGAATACTGATCTTGCTATCCATCCACAACGAGCGGTCTCTTCTCTTCACATGTTGTTGGTCAGGTTGTTGCCTTCCCCAATGAGCTCTTGTTGCAAAATCTACCTTCAACCCCATCTGTAAGCCCTCGCATCATATAATAATTTCATCAGGCATAGTGTCGGTCCCACCGGTGAGGCCCCAACGAACTACCATGGCAATCCTACAATGTAATCTCCAGCATCCAACAAATTGTTTCAGTCTCATTCAAGAGACCCCTAGCGAAGTCCCTAACGTGAAATCCTAATTATGAGATGCCTCATTTAGTGGAACTTTTATTCTGTCCAGTGAACGTACGCAGAGGAAGGTTCGGTTTTAGGCAAAAAAGTGCCTGTACCGAGGTGTACCGAGTTTTTTTCAAAAAAAAAAAAACTCGGTTCAACTCGGTCAGGCACTTTTTTTGCTAACGGCACATCTCTACATCTTGCATCCGGACCAATAAAAGTTCCATTTAGTGAGCTTGTTGATGTGGGGTTAGATTTGATTTGACATATGCACATGATGATTCAAACTATGTTCTAAATATTGATTAAGTTTGAAACTTCTCCTCGAAAAGTGAGATTGAATAGGCATCTACTAAATAAGTGAAGAGGAAAGTTTTGTCTAAATGAACTTTCGACATTTCTATTAAGAATTAAAACAATCATTATATTTTTCTCTATAGTTGATCTATAATCATTCATTAAAAGTTGATATAATGCCCTCAAATGATTCCATCATAAGTCAAAAATAATAATATATTTTTTAATTTACGTAAATAGATGATCTTCTTTAAATTTATATGTCTCATTTTTAATAGATCATAAACAAGAATTTGTAAAGGATATATTTAATAAATATATTATATTATATATATAATTAATTTATCTACAACTATAATATAATGTCTCTGAGATTTTAAAATTTTATCTATTGTATTATGTTAATAATTGTAATACCTGATTTTTTAATAGAAACAAATATTATATACAATAAATGAATTTTTATATTTTTAAAATATATATTGTTTTGTGGTTTAAATATATACTAGATTATTCTGATTTTTTGTTGTTTTTAAGGTAATTTTAAAAAAGATTTAAACTCCTCGCAAAAATTAAATATATATTTTATAACCAGCAACACAATACACTTCATACCATCTCTCGTCATTAACATTGCAAAGAAACTTGAACCCGAGATAGACACGCTGTAGTCTGATGACTTTTTTACTGACAGATTGGGTACAATTATTTGTTGTGGATATTAAATAAAGTTATTTGGGTTGTTTAAAGTAATTTTTAGTAAAAAATTAATTAAAATTGTGCTAAATTATTTATTAAAAATATTTTTAAAAAAATTATTCGCAAATGAATCTAAATTCATGTGAGAAATTTTTTACTATTTTAAAATATATATTTTATTAAAAATCATTTGAAAAATAAGAATTATGCAATGAAGCCTAAATTTATTTTCAAAGTGGAGCTTGTGATTCGTGAATTTTTGAGATTTGTGTTGAATATAACAGATTGAGATTTATTTTCTTTACACACTTTGCATGTGCCTATTGGTTTGAGAGTTTGCTTCCATAAGAGGTTCAGTCTCGAGTCTGTGATTCGTTGAGTGTGTGTGTTTGACTTAAATGGCCTAACATGTCCCAAAAAAAAAAAGATTTATTTTCTTTTTTCTTTTTATCGAAAGACTGATTGTGTGATTCAATGCTTAAGTAAGGAACAGAAGTGCTCTATGGGGCCTGGGAGGGCTGAGACACGTACTTTTTTTATGAAGATAATTATATAATATGCTGTTGTAAAAAATAAATTTTTAGAGTATTTTTTTTTTAATCTTATAAAAATAATCACTAAATAAAACTTACAATTACACTATGAAGATTAAGGCTTCCTTTGAGTATGCTTTCTTGATGATTTCAAAATAATTTTTTAGTAAAAAAATTTCTAATTCAAAAATTTTATGTACTCAAAAGCTGATTTAAAAAATACTAAAAAGATGTCCGAAATAAAGCCTAAAATAGTAAAAATGATTCCCCCAACAAAATTTTTATCAACTTTCAAAATATTAAAAACATGATGTTGATTTACGTAAATACAATTATTTTTGGGAGGCACAAATTTTAAGCAATTCATCTAATTTTACTTTAAATTTGATTAAATAGCCCTTAAATCAAAAAAACAAGAACACGTTTTTTTTTTTGACATTTAGGCTAATTAAGACGGATTCATACACACATCGCATGCATAAAATTCTAACTCGAGACCTCTTGATTGATAGCTTAAGCTCCCAACCTACAGATCAAAATGAGCTGTATAAAACACTCGTCTTAAATGACACTCCACTTACAAAACTAATCTCTCTCTCCAGCTTTCAACTCTGAAACCCCTACCCTTAATTTTCTCTTGCGCTCACATTCACCTCTTGGCGTTAAACAACTCAATAGTAACTCTGTCTCTCTCTCTCTCTCTCTTAATTTCTCCGCCTCCACATCCAATATAGTTTTGGATTCCGATTTCGTTATCTCCCATAGATGTTAGTGTACAGTCGTCAATATATATATATAGATGGTTTGAATTCTCGACAAACTCAATCTCACGAGGGATTCTCTACTGGCTGTGAATCCGCATGTCCTCAAATTTCACATGCCAGCTGTGGCTTTTCGAGCCTCCATTGCCTCTTTTTATACAGTCCTCGTATGAGCTGTGGTCGGCCATATATGAAGTTTATGCCGTTGACTCGGCTACAGCTGGAGGTTTCTTTTGTTTTAACCAATGTAAAATTCGATGAGATTTGATTCGATCATGAGGATGCGGAGAACGATCCACGATCGGGTTCCGAAGAGATGTGACTATTTGGAATTACTAACTCATTTTGATGTATGAATGCGTAATTTTGACTATTAATTAAGAGATTTTATGTTTGAAGTTTAAGTATATGATGTGCGTGAGTTTATTTTTATGACTCAAATGTCAAAACAAATGGCTCGCATATTCAGTCAAAATCGAAGGATATGAGTTTATTTTACTATGATGTTGCTTTTGTGGGTATGGGAGATCACTCGGGTTAAAGTTGAGCGGGAGCTAGAGCATCGAGGGCTGCGGTTCACAAATGGCTTCTATAACTGCTGTAAAAAAATTTAGAAGCTGCGAAAACTGCTGCCTATATCAATCTATAGCAGTGGTTTAAAAATTGACGCTAAAAAATGCTGCGAAAATCCCATATTTTTTATAGTGAGAGTTGTTTATAAATTATATCTAATTATATTGAAAATATTAAATAAAAATTAGTGAAAATTTTAGAAGAATAAGTTATAAAATTTCTATAAAATGAGCTAAGAAAATTATAAATTAGTTAGAATAAGATACAATAACATTTTCTGTCATCCAGAAATAAGGTAGAAAATTCGTATCATTGTCCAGTAACACAAGCAAAAGTGATGGAGTCCAATATCAAAAAATGAATGACTGGAGTTCTTTAAATTTCAAAATTCTTCTCAGACTATTTATAGTTTACAGCACACAAGAATCTGC